TTAACTCATGTCTGGGGACAGTTTTGATGGTGTGACTGGCGTCTAGTGGGGAGAGGCCAGGGACCCGCTGGATGTCCTATGACTCACAGGATGGCCCCACACAAGGAATTTCAGGGCTCCAATGTCAGTGGTGCCCGCAGTGAGGCACCCTGGCCTAAGAGAAAAGAAGAAAGGGTGCTTTGTTTTTTCTCTTCCTGCATCACAGCTTTATAGGAGGATAACTGATAACCTTGGAAAATCAAAATCTAGGCCTGGTGCAGTGGCTCACACCTATAATCCTCATGCTTTGGTAGTCCCAGGAGGGAGGATTGCTTGAACCCAGGAGTTTGAGGCTGCAGTGAGCCATGATTTTAGCATTGCACTCCAGCCTGGGTGACAGAGAGAGAGGCTCTGCCCCTAAAAATACATACATAGTTACATACATACATACTTACATACATACATACTTACATACATACATACATACATACATACATACATTGAGAACTTCAGGAAAAGATGAAGGTTCGGGTGGCCACCACTTTTCACAGGGGAAGGAGAGAGAGAAATCTTTATTGGAAAATCCTGTGTGTCGGGAATGTACTAATTACTAAGCATAATTACCGGCTGTGGCCAACTCCTAGCCCACCCAACACAGTCTTCCCATCTGCTTGCAGGGTTGTGCTGGCTTTTAGGGAAGATTCTTTCTTTATTTCTCCTATGCTGTTCATGTTTACATCCTTCTTTGGTGACAGGCAGGACTAGGATCTCATGGGAAGGGTGAGTTTTTGGGGGAGCTGAGGGGAAAGCACAGGGAGGGGAATGGGGGTGCTGGAAACCGACCTCACTGGCTTCACAAGTGTGCTTGACCTTGATCTCTAGGAACGCGTTCGCAGCATTCTTTCTGCAAATTCAGAAGGTCGAATGGAGCGGGACTTGCTGGACAACTGCCAAGAGCCTCATTAGAGCTAGTGGCATGTACTTTGTGTATTTTGTAGGGGCTGTGGAGATGCGACACCCAGCACCCCCAGGAGGGATCTGCTGCTCTAACTGCCGGGGGCAGGGCTGCCAGGATCTGTCTCTGCGGGGGTCACTGCTGCTGCGGTCACCCCTCCCTGGGGTGGCCACCTCCCAGGGCTAATTGCAGGTGCGAGAGGACTCTGTGGCATCACATCACCCCAGGCCTCCCTTCACAGGGCCTGCGTCTCCTTTTGACGTGTCCCTCTCCTGAGCCCTCCACAGGTGCTCGTGCCTGACAGGTACCCCTCACCTGGAGCCATCTCAGCGTGGGGCAGGGAATAGGGTACTCAGGAGGCTCAACTCTCTCAGCATCCAGGAGCTTCTGGAAGGGACTAGAATGTCAGACTGACTGACAAAAAAGTCACCAAGGAATGAAAATGTCGAAGCCATCGGACACAGCCCTGGAAGCTGCCGAGACGGCGTGTTTGGCTGGGGCTTCCTCCTGTGCTGATGATTCACATCAGGCCATATATTTCCTGGCTGTGCTTCCCCGACAAGATGAAGTGCATTCCTGACACACAGAACTTTCCAATAAAGATTTCATTGTCTCCTTCCCCTGTGAAAAGTGATGAGTGAACTTGATATTTCTCTGTTCAACCTTCATCAATAAAAAATGTTTCTGGTTGGGTTATTCCTGTTGATTCTTAATGAAGTGGCGTTTTATGAGGTGCCATTCAGTCCTGAACTTCAGAAAGAGCCAGGGATCTTTGGCATGCTAAAGTGGGCGCTTTAAACTTGGAAATGTATATTAATAGCTGCATGCATACATAACACGGGAGGTAAATACGCAGTTATCAGGGATTTAATACACCTCAGCCCGAAAAGGATATATCACACATTAACGTGTAATTACCAGTTGGAAATAGAAATAGACGACCCACCAGACCAGATTTATCACCCGGACTCACATACATCAGCCACTGAACCAGACCTAGCACCCATTGACTCTGACAGATCACCGCCCTACCCAGACACAAAGCAACTGATTTAGATCCACAGCACCAATATACTCAGTTGGCGACCACCCTTTGACTGGCATATATTGTCACCTAGTGAAAAATACCTTTGTGACAAATCACACTGGCTGAAAGTGAAATCCACTGTACAGTATGTTTAACTCAGCCAGGGTTGCCTGGAATGGGCAGGGGGTTGTTGGCTGGTCCGGCTCTCAGGGCCTTGGCAGGAGGCTGGTCGTGGTGTGGGGAGCGGTGGCCCCCAGTTCATAAGTAGGTCAGCAATGGTGCCTGGCACGTGCTGACCACAGCTCCCCGCAGATGTCTCCCAGGACCACGGATGAGGCTGCCTCAGAGCTGGCTGCATCCCCCTGCAGACCAGGGGTGGCTCCCTTGCTGGCTGAGGGGCCTGAGAGCAGGAGGCCCCTGCACAGGGGAGCAGCCTTCACCATACGCCTTGATGAGCTCAGCCTATGTGACTCCTTTTCTTTAACCTTCAGGGACCATTCTGTGTGGGGTGTGGGAGGGGTAGAGAGCTGCCCTTCTGTGCACTTCCCTAGGGTTGCTCTCAAAGGCCTTCCTCCTCCCAGGCCATCCTTGGTTACCCTCTAGTTTCCAGGGGGATGTGTGTGCAGACGTGTGCGCGTGTGCATGTGTGTGTATAGTTAATGTGTGTGATGTGTTTGTGTGTGAGGTGATGGTGGTGGTAGCGTGTGTATCTGTATGTGTGGTTGTGCATGCCTGGTGTGTATGTGTGTGTGTGTGTGAGCTGGTGTGTGTATACATGTGTATGTGTGTGGTTAGTGTATGTTGTTTGTGTGTGAGGTGATGGTGGTGGTAGTGTGTGTGTGTATGCATCTGGTGTGTGTATGGTTAGTATGTGAGTTGGTGTTCATGTGTGTGAGTTGTGTGTGTGGTTAGTGTATGTTGTTTGTGTGTGAGGTGATGGTGGTGGTAGTGTGTGTGTATGCATCTGGTGTGTATGGTTAGTGTGTGAGTTGGTGTTTATGTGTGTGAGTTGTGTGTGTGGTTAGTGTGTGTTGTTTGTGTGTGAGGTGACGGTGGTGGTAGTGTGCATGTTAGAGTGTGCATCTGGTGTGTGTGTGTGCGTGTGTGGTTAGTGTGTGGGTTAGTGTATGTGTTTAGTTGGTGTGTGTATGCATGTGTGTGGTTAGTGTGTGTTGCATTTGTGTGTAAGGTGATGGTGGTGGTAGTGTGTATGTTAGTGTGTGCATCTGGTGTGTGTTTGTGGTGTGTGTATGTGTGTGAGTTGAGGTGTGTGTGTGTGTGTGTGCGTGCCAGGTGGTATTTGCTTCAGGCTGTAGGTTTACGTGGACTGCTGAGCCTGAGCTAGGACTTGAGGAATGTGGACCAGGGAGCTAGAGGCTTCAGTTGGAAGAGCTTCTTTATTTTATAGTCAGAGAAACTATGTTCTGAAGAGAGTAGTGATTTGGAGAACCAGGCTTTCCTGAGTCTCAGCCCAATGGAGAGGCCACTCTCCACCGAGTATTGCCTGAGTCTTCCAGATGTATGCAGTGGGTGTGGCTCATTACTGCAGCAGCAGATGAGAAATGCAGTGTCCCATAAGGCTGCTGGAAGACAGATAACTGTTTTTTGCACCACCTGAGCCTAAAGCTGCATTTAATTCCAGGCTCTGTCAGTTAGAAGTGAGGTATACAGACAGCGCCAGCATTTGAAACTTGATGGATGAAAGAAGGTCATTAAGGAACGCAAACTTCAAAGTTAATTGCAACCTTTTTTTCTTTTCTTTCTTTCTTTCTTTTCTTTTTTTTTTTTTTTTTACAACACTTGCCTTTACCATTATTAATAGAAAGGGGCAGAGGATCTGTTCCCACTCCCACCATAAGACTTGAGCACCCACAACCAGTGACTCTGTCTTTGCCTCTAACAAATTGATTGGGGGGGAGGGGAAGGGACATCATGGGGAGGTAATCCAGCTGGGAATGAATCACACACATTTCTGTGCTGTGGGCTCAGGGAGGCAGCAGGAGATTAATACAAAGATCTTGCTTCCAGTCCTGGTTATGCCACAGTCTAAAGTCTGTCACAGACAAACAAGACAAAGAGAGGAGATGAAGGAAGCTGATGACTGCATTTGGGAGACATCCAAAGAGGGTCCGTGACAGAGGACAACAAGGACTGTGATGTGCTGCTGGAGAAAATTCAAAGTTAGGAATGGGCAAATAAAAGGAAATGAGACTGCCCCAAATGAAGAGACAGGTATGTGGGAAAGTATGCCCTATAATAGCAAAGATGGTGAAATGAAAAGACAATTGGGGCATGGAAACATTGAATAAATTTTAGCACCATCATCATATCATCATCATCAACATCACCACCATCATCACCATCATCATCATCACCACCATTATCCTCACTATCATCATCACCACCATTATCATCACTACCATCATCACCATCATTATCATCACTATCATCATCATCACCACCATTATCATCACTATCATCATCACGACCATTATCATCACTATCACCATCATCATCACCACCATTATCATCACTATCATCATCACGACCATTATCATCACTATCATCATCATCACCACCATTATCCTCACTATCATCATCATCACCACCATTATCATCACTATCATCATCACGACCATTATCATCACTATCATCATCATCACCACCATTATCATCACTATCATCATCA